AATTAGCCGACACCTTTAGGTCGGATCAACATGATTGTTGCCTCAATCTTGGCTTTGTCCATTTGCTTTTTTAATTGATTGAACTGAACAATTGGAAAATGGAATAATAATAATAATAATTATAGTTGTTGCTATAATAATGGAGAGGGTGACCTTGTGGCCACCACTCTACAGTCTACACAACAATGATGAAATCAAGGATGGGCCGAAAAGTAGGCCAGTAGGCCCACTAATGGAGCATTGATGTAAGTTGTGGGCTCAGACTCCTGAAAGAATGGCCTTGAGTCAGGAAATGAATCAGAGCTATTGGGCCCACCCACAACCGCTCCGACTAAGATATTCGGGTTCGGGTTTGGACTTAGGTAATAACGAGATCCTTCCTTGCAGCTGATGTGGGCCGGGTGTGACGCCACTGATGGTAATGAGCTGCCACGGTGGTGGATCCTCTGTGGGTAGTGCGACCCATACCCTACCATGTACGACATTCTTAATGGATTATCCCCCAGAATGTAGTCCACCTAGTAGGCCCAACAAAGAGGGAGATTGTCAAATCGTGAGCAAAAGAATAAATAAGAACGAAACGTAATGATCCGTGACGAACAAATTTTTGTTACTTTTAAATATTTTCCAGTTTTATGATATGGTCTACTAATATAGGGTAAAAGAGACGACGACCATTGATCATAAATCTCTATTTTTGTATAAATTCTTCGAGTTTGACGATATTAGTGACGTGTTCAGTGCGCTGGATCGAACAATTAGAGTGCAAAATTTACCTGGCGTCTAGCTAATCGCTTGAGAAGAGCTGGAGAAGCAGCAGTGTCGCCACATGGCACAGCGTGATTGGCGTGACTTAGATAATTAGAATAAGCCAAAAGCAGGAAAGATAGGGATGTTACATGCTGCATGTTACTTCCTCCAGCCTTGAAGATGAGCCCACCTTTTTTAACCAATAAGAAGATGCCACGTGTGAATTGAAACCTACTGAAGGATAATTGGGCAAAATTATATTATTGGAATGACAAAAATACCCGGAGAATATTGAACTTGAGAGTGAGAAAATCCGGGTAAAACCGAACAAATAAAACCATCAGCATTGATTCGGAATGATTCTAAATCATCTGCCTTTCCCATTAGCACCTCCTGTTATAAAAAAATTCATTAATGCAAAATCCATAAATCGAAAGGTATCGTTATTACACACAAACCCACAAAGTTTTAAACAACTACTCAATTAT